TATACATTTAACACCCCCCCCCCCCTCAAACTCATGGTGGATCTACAACACTGAGTTTGGAGAGTAGGAATCTATGATGAGCCCGGTCTGTGCCTTGGTGAAGAAATCAGCTAACTGAACCTCTGAAGGCACATGGTGGAGCGTCACAACCAGATCATGCACCTGCGATCTCATGTAGGAAGCATCAACGCCAATGTGTTTGGTGAGCTCATGCTTGACTAGGTCTCGAGCAATACTGATCGCACCGGTGTTGTCAGAAGAGAGAGGAGTGGGTGCAGTGGCAGGCACACCAAAATCCTCAAGAAGCCATCGTAGCCATGTCACCTCCGCAGTCACAGTCGCCATACACGCAGCTCAGCCTTAGCACTCGACGGGAAATTGCAGTCTGCCTTTTGGTTTTCCAGGCAATCAAGGAGGAGCCAAGGAAAACACAATAGGCAGAGAGAGTAGCGATCATAGTGATCACTTGCCCAGGTCGCATCAGAATACGCCTGAAGCTGAAGGGAACTAGAACGAGGGAAGAAAAGGCGCCGAGAGATAGTTCCACGAAGGTATCGCAGAACACGAAGAAGGTGAGCATAGTGGAGCTGGGTAAGAGCTAAGACAAACTGACTCAAGATATGCACAGAGTGAGAAATGTCAGGACGAGTGATCCCAAGGTAGACAAGACTCCCAACAAGCTGACGATAGCGAGTAGGATCAGCAAGTGGTACACCATCAGTGGGTCGTAGGTGAACACCAAGCTCCATAGGAGTATCAACAGTGTGGTGATCAGTGAGAGCAGCACGGGAAAAGCGGTCCTGAGTGTACTTCTCCTGAGAGAGAAAGATACCATCAGATGTGGAGGTGACCTCAAGACCAAGGAAGTAACGAAGGGGACCCAAATCAGACATAAGGAATGTCTCACTGAGACGCTGCTTCACAAAATCAATGTACTGGGAATCATCGCCCGTGATGATCATGTCATTGACATAGAGAAGAAGAAGGGTGCGACCACGAGGGGAAGTGTGAACAAAAAGAGCAGGATCGTGATCACTTGGCGTAAAACCAGCATCGATGACAACAGAGGAGAAACGCTCAAACCAGGCCCGAGGAGCTTGCTTGATGCCGTAGAGAGAACGGCGCAACCGACAAACCAGGCCATCAGGAACAGAGTATCCTGGAGGTGGCTACATATAGACTTCCGCTCGCAGCTCGCCATTGAGGAAGGCGTTCTTGACATCCAACTGGGATATCGACCACTGACGAACAGAAGCAACTACAAGAAGAGTGCAAACAGTAGTCATGTGCGCGACAGGAGCGAAGGTCTCCTCATAGTCACGACCTTGCTCCTGTTGGAAGCCGTGCGCCACAAGACGAGCCTTGTAGCGCTCAAGAGAGCCATCCGAGCGGGTCTTTACCTTGTACACCCACTTGCAAGTGATAGGAGTGACGTGAGGTGGCAAAGGAACAAGATCCCAGGTGCTAGTATGTTCTAGGGCAGCAATCTCCTCAGTCATAGCATGTTGCCACTTCTGGTGAACGGCAGCTTCCCGATAGGTCGCGGGCTCAGCCAAGACGGCAGCAGTGAAGCCAAGGCGGTCAGGAGGACGAAGGGTGATGCGGCCACGAAGAGAATAACGAGGAGGAAACTCAGGATGAGGTCCAAGGACGGACGGAGAAGAGTCAAGCGGTGGCGCAGTGAGCGGACGGCGAGTGTAGTAGTGAGTGATCTCACGGGAAGGACGCAACGATGATGGTGGAGGAGAGACTGGTGGTGGAGAGGTAGGAGGTGGTGAAGGTGGAGAAGTAGGTGGTGGTGGTGGAGGCGGAGTAAAAGATACCTAAGGTGGTGAAGAGGATGGAGACGACAACAGAAGATACCACTCAGGTAAAGTGAGGAATGAGAGGGACTCATTGGTACCAGAAGAACCAGAAGGGGAACGAGGATAGTAAGGTCGGGACTCATCGAAGGTGACATCCCGAGAAATCCTCATCCGACGAGCAACAGGGTCATAGCAGCGATAACCCTTATGTTCCGTACTGTACCTAAGGAAAACACACTCAACAGACTGAGCAGTGAGTTTGGTGCGCTCACGAGGTGGAAGTAGGACGTAACAGACACACCCAAAACAACGAAGATGGCTATAGGAAGGAGGGGTGCCGAAAAGACGCTCATAGGGAGTGCAACCCCGAAGACAAGTAGAGGGTTGGCGATTTATAAGAAAAAACAGCTGTAGAAACCGCCTCAGCCCAAAAATGAGGAGCAAGCATAGAAAAGATCAAGAGAGCACGAGCAGTCTCAAGAGTGTGGCGATGCTTGCGCTCAGCAACACCATTTTGAGCATGAGCACCAAGACATGAAAATTGTGCAAGAGTACCCTGCTCAGCAAGGTAGGAACGATGAGCAGTGGAGATGTACTCACCAGCAGAATCCGCACGAAAAACTCGAATGAGAGAGTTGAACTGGGTACGAATCATGGTGGCAAATTGCTGGTAAATAGAAAAAAATTGACCACGAGAAGACATCAAATAAATCCAGGTAAATCTCGAATAGTCATCAATGAAAATAACATAATATGATTGACCCCCTTTTAAAACAAAAGGTGCAGGACCCCATACATCAGAGTGAACAAGATCAAAAGGTTTCTGGGACTTAGACTCACTAGAAGGGTAGGGGAGTTGCAACTGTTTGCCAAGTTTACAACCCATACAATGAAGAGTAGTGTCACCAGAAACAGGACCTAACACACCACTACCGACAAGAGTGGACAATCTAGAACCAGAGAGGTGGTCAAGACGACGATGCCATTGCGCAAAAGAAGTGGTAGACGAAGCAGCTGACACGGATGCTGGAGAACTGGGTGATGTGGGAGCCAAAACGGGTGAAGGAAGACGTAACCAATCAAGCTCCCAGAGGCGTTGGGAGTCCCGACACCTAGGCCCAGTTCCCACCAAAAGGCCCGTACAGAGATCCTAAACACAACAAGAATCAGACTCAAGGATTATCGTGACCATGATCGATGATTTGACCATGCAGACAAGAGTTGCATAGTGAGCTTGGGAGCATGCTAAAGCAAGAGGAACATTAAACGAAGAGGTCGAAAGAACACCTCTCCCAAAGAAGGAAGAAGAGAAGTGCCATCTGCGGTGCGAGCGTAAATAGGTGGATCGGGGAAGATAGAGAGGACAAGTGTGTTGCATGAGGTGTCATATGAAAAGAGGCACCAGAGTCGAGGAACCATGGGGATGATATACCTAACGGAGGAGGAGCGGAACTAGAAGCCTAAGCTGTAGTCCCGTGACCGGAGGCCTGAGCTGCAGTAGTGAGGCGATGAAACTGGGCAAGAACCTCCTGCTCCGCTGCAGACACTGAACGAGTGCTCTGTGAAGTAGAGGAACCACCAAAGCCCTGAAAAGAGCGTTTGCCACGACGCCTGATCGGTCATGCTACCGCTTCTTGCGACAATCCTTCTCCTCATGGCCATAGAGCTTGCGGTAGCCTACACCGAACACAGGAAGGTGCCCCCGCCACCACGAGAGAGGGGTGAGACGGAGGCGGGGGAGACACGGGAGGTGTGGGCTGCTAGGACGGAGGGTTGCTTGGCGTGAGCATGAGTCACACCCCCACCAAGACGTGTCTCCTTAGCTCAGAACTCGTGCATCGCCTCTAAGAGCGATGGGCGCGGACGATGAGTCAAGAATCGTGCTCGAAACAGATCTCGAACTCGGGGACGAAGCCGAGAGAGAAACTCGTGAAGGTGAAGAATGTCTCTCTGGTCCCAATGACGGTCACAAAGACCGCAAGCAAGTACCACCATGCAGAACTTCAGCCGCCAAAACTGTCCAGCGATGCCAAGCAGTGTCATCATCGACGGTGGAAGTCCTCAATTGTGGAGTCAAGTCGACGAAGTGGTGAGCCTCCTCAACAACAGCAAGGTACATCACTTGCGTTTGAATCTCAGAGCTATGACGGAGGTGATCCCACATAAGGTGTGAAGTGGCAAGACCTCTAAGGGATAACGAGAGATCAACCTCCATGCTCGCAAGTAAGATAGCCTTAGCAGATTTTTCCTCATGTGACCAAGTCTCATAGACACCGAGATCAGACTGGTAGCTCTCCATCTCAGTCTCAAATGCCTCAAGTAAAGCATTCTTGGCATCATCATCGGCATCTGGCGGGTATGTGGGCGGCGTGGGAAGAAGAGGACGGGGAGGACAGATCCGCTCACCCGTGAGGTAGCCCCACAACAGCTGCCCATCCATGTGGACCTCCATATGGAAAACAAAATCGCCCCAATTGGTGCCATTGAAAATGACGGGGCACCGAGGGACCAGAACAACGCCAGGACGTCCCCGTCCGAGTGACGCCATGGAGAGAACGAGCCTCTCTTCTTCTTCTTCTTCTTCTTCTTCTTTTTTCTTTCTTTTTTTTTAAAGAGAGAGGAGAGGAGGGCCGACCGGCTCACTGGACCGACACACGGGCGCGAGTGAGCGACTCGCTATATAGGGGCGGACGAAAGGAGCCGCGAGACCGCAAGGGGCGCGCGGGAGGGAGTCGTCCGGCGCGCAAGGCCGCTCGGGAGGGAAGGGAGAGAGGCGGGCGGTGGCGCGGAGGAGGACACGCACGGTGATGCTGCAGGTCAGGGAGGCATGGCGGGCAGGCAGCTGGATGATAAGCAAGCAGCGATGGCCGTAAGCAATGTGCTGGAGTGGTAAGTGGTGTAGTGGCGTTGGCATGAGCGCTGTGTGGGTTCATGACGGCTTGCACGGATCGGTGGGATTGGTCTGAGGTAAGAAAACCTAGCTCTCTGATACCATGTTAGAGAATAACCAACCTGCTCTATTGCAAGGCCCAAGAGGGCAAGTATACACAATGTACATATGCAAAGAAGCCCTCCAATTAGAGGAAAAACACATACACCTCCTATACATCTAACATGAACAGTAGAATAGTGATAACAGATGAATTCCACTTAATGGCAATTTATAAGGTAACAGTTCAACTAGCAATGATTGCCTCACCACTGCACGGAGATACAAAGACAAATTAAAAACAGAAAAACAGGGTGGATAGCGGTAGGAGGGATATGGAAAATGAGATTGTGCTATACCTTAATTATAGCAAGATCAGCAGCAGGAGGTTTCAAATCCAGGGCAATGCCAAAGCAGAAAACAGCTTTGTCAAGGATATTGAGTTGCTTGTAAATCTTTCCCATCAGTGCATACATACTGCTCTCATGAGGTGCAATCTCCTTTAGCCGCTCCAACTCATCCAGAGCTTCTTGATACTTCTGAAGACCTAGAAGGATTAAGGCCTTCTGATACTTGGGCAGTGGATTCTTTTTATCAGCTGCTATAGCTTTCTCCATCATTTCCAATGCCTCCTTGTTCCTCTGACAAGTTTGAATCCAGACAGAAGGTTTATTTAATCATTGTCCAGTTAAGATTTTGAAGGGGAAAACAGAAATAGAGAAGTATTCCATCCTATTCCATCTGTAAGTAATTTTTAGACTACAACAACCTATATTTGGAATCAGAGGGAGAAGTCTATTGTTGTCGATCAATGATACCAACCTTAAGAGAATTCAACGCCATCCCAAGATAGCACATGAGGACAGAAGAGCGAGGATTTATCTGAAATGCCCTTCTGAAATGATGCTCAGCAAACTCAAACTTTTCCTGGCGAAGATACACCACCCCAAGGCCATACCAGGCATTGTAGTGCCTTTCATCTACCTGCAGTGCACACCGGTAGAATTTGATACTATTCTCATAATCCTCCAATGCAGAATACCTACAGTTTAAAGGAATGGGGTTCAATTAGAAATTTTGAAATGATTGCCTCGAACATGAATTTTCAGGATGTAGCTTCAGATTTGCACCAGTTAAGATCTGGAGCATGAAAATAGAAACATATAGAATATTTATGAGAGCCACAACATACTCATGACCACATAGAGTGTGAGCATATGCAAATCTTGAGTCAAGCTGTACCGAACGTTGAAAATTCTTCAAAGCAGTCTCATGATCTTTCCTCAAGGCAAAGCAATTGCCCACTGCACACCTGTTGCACATTCCAGACAGATACATTAGAAAATGAAACATGAGGACCCAGCTTTCAGACTAAAGGCTTATGATTGTGGCCTAGACACATCTAGGTGTTTTGCACTGCCCCCCCCCCCACACACACACACACACACAAAAAAAGTGTTACAAGATGGATTTTTAAAATAAAATCGAAATACTGTGGCAAGAAAAGGCCCCAACATTTTCACTCTGAGATAAAACTACATACCATGCTTGAGGAGATAGTCGATCAATGGAAATAAGCTCTTGAGCAAGGTAGCTTAGTCTCATTTCCTCATTCAGATGCTGCATCAGAGGCGTGTGAGCTTGGAGATAAATGTGCCAATAAATGTAGCCAAGCCCAATGCTCCAATTTCACTTACATAAAGAACAGTAGAATAGATGTCCATTCCATCGAGCGTACAAGGCGACAGTCGGTGTGCCAATTCAAAGTAACGATCAGCTTCCAAATAATCAACTAATTCGAAATATGCCTTACCAACCTGCGTAGTCGACCAAAACAAAAATAAGCCACAAGCATTTGCTTGTCAAAAGAATTGAATTTACAGACCTTTCTTTACGTTCATATATGTAATACCTAATATATAAGAGACATTACATTTTTTTCAATAAAGGACTAAAATGTATGATATTGGCAATGTTTAAGGGACTCGTCACTTGCATTAACAAAGGTTGGTGCTTGAGTTTTAAATTAACAAACTGCCAATTCCAAATTGACTAAAAAAGCTGATAGAGAGCAATAGAAACTATAATCTTAAACTCCTAACGATTAGACACCATAGAACTCGTTATGTCATCGGGTTCACTAAAATTAATTTACAATTTTGGATACAAAGGAAGAAAACAAAGTTGCCTACAAAGTTTACATGTTAATTTGCTGGCAAAGATGTACTCCAGCAAGCAATGTCATCAGCAGTTCTTTCATTACAAGAATCAAAAGCATGTTTGGAATTCTCTAATCATCTTGCATTGACTTCACCTGGCATAGAACCCATCCAGTGTTAAACTGCGACTCAGGGAGTTTTCTGTAGACTTCCAATGCTTCCTGAACAATTAATAATGAAATCAGTTTAGTGGTATCACTGGGTACAAGGTCACCATCTTTAGCTAAAAACCCTATATCATACCTGGCACTTAAACAAGCAAGAAAGCCTAAAACCTTCCCCGAGTGTTCGGAAAAGTCCCAATAGCTCCCTAATACCAAGTGCCAATTTGGAGTCTTGCAACAGAATTCGTTCAGCTTTATCTTGCTCAAAGGATCTTCCATCAGCTGTACTCACAGAAGATGAAGTTCCTGATATATTGTCTGTCCACATTTCATCAATGACTTCATATCTACTTCCTAAATTTAAAAAGAATCACCATTCATAAAGACAGTTGAGCAAAAAAATGCTCATCCATACACTGACACCTAATGCAAAAGGTCAAAACTAAAAAATACATTTTACCAAATAATATTGTATCAACGCTAAGGTGAAAGCGTTGGAGATAATCTAGTCACAGGGCAATGGATACATTTAGTACTCTAAATGCCGGGGTTACCAAAATAGGGTTTTATTATGTTTAAAAAAAAACCTTGCTTCAGTATTTTATCCTAATAATGACGTAGTATTTAAAGTATGAATAAGAAGTTCATTTCTAAATCAGCATAAGGAGAAATCCCTATATTAATACCATAGATGAAAATACATTTGTTAGGCAGTTTCATGCTTGGTTATTAGCAAAGCAGTATCCTAAAAGTTCTACAACTTGGTATCATAACTGAAATTTCAAAAAAAAAAAGAGAGAGAGAAGAAAAGAAATGACAACCATATATATATGGCAGAAGAAACAACAAAACAATACTACTACCAAATATGATGACATAATTGTCTAATGTAAACTAATGATTGATAATGATATTAAGTAAAATATGCCAATACATCCTGATCCACGGCAGGCCTGGTGCAGTGGTGAGAGCTGTCTCACTGAGTCACCAGGTTGTGGGTTCGAAGCAGCCTCTCCGTAGATTTGCGGGGGGAAGGCTTGCCTCTGTTTTCCCTTACCTAGACCCCACTCATGTGGGAGCCTCCGGCACTGGGTCTGCCATTTACATCCTGATCACGGCAATATAAAAAAAAAACTCGATCGGGGGGGTTAAGACTGCCGCAGCATTACAAAAAGAAGAAGGACCTTCTCACCCGGCCGAGAAAACCCCCGAACCCCCGCCCCCACCCTTACACGGTGGCTTTCCGTCGCCCAAGTGAGAATTGGGCCGGTGCCCCCCAGTGCTTTGGTTATGGGGACAAACGAGGGGATTTTTTTAACCTCAGCCTGAAATTCGCTCCCACGGGGAGTCGAACCCAAGACCTGAGGAGTGCCGCTGGGTCACCTAACCGTTTGAGCTAGGCGCCCTTTGGTGATCACGGCAATATAAAAACACACCAACCAAATTTGCCTACATTTATTTTGAAATTTGATGAATCATCCACACTGAAATGATAATCACCTTCATCAAAATTTTCTGTAGCCCGTGGTTTTCCTTTCCTAACTTGCACGGAATGTATGGCTGTTGAACACAATTTTGATGGTGTGGACGAGTTTACTCGCAATTTACCTGACGAATGACCTGTACCATTCCCTCCAAATTGAGAGGTATTTGAATTTGAATTTGTTGCTGTATCTTTAAGTCTTTCACTTCTTCGAGGTATTGAAGTTGAATCACTATTAAACAACCTTCCGGAAACCTGAAAAATGTCGTCAATTCTAATATCACCAACAGTGGCGGAGCCAGAATGATGCATCAGGGTATTCCATATAAATACAATTGTGCAATGTAAATATGCAATAAATATATAGGACCATATAAATGCGAGCAAAGAGGATTTGGTGTGAATGTGGGAGCCTTTTTCTTTGTCTTTGTAGCTTTCTTCCATAATGCAAGGCAGGTATGCTAACACCTAACATATATTTTTGTTTCTTTAACCAAACACATACCCGCTGGCACCGCCCCTGTCACCATAAGAGAATATCAACAGAAAAGAGTACAAAGGAGGGCTTACAGACAGATCTCAAATCTACCGAACAATAAAACACGTCCTTTTTCAATCGAACAAAACCAATAGGAAAAGAAAGACCTTCAATGTAAGTACATATTAAATAGTTTTAATACCATTGTGTATTATATCGCAAGATGAACTTGCGACTACAAGAAACAATACAAAAATAGACTTAGGATTATATCGATCATTTTCAGTGCCTTGTACTCCCTCCAGTAAAAAACAAATTATGCTTTTGACATCAGCACGGTCTCTAAAAAACACAAAAACACTTTTTTGTTACAAAATATTTATTAAACATAGCAAAAGTATCTTTTTATGAAACTGCATTTTGATCCAAATATCTACTCGTATCATTTCCAAATATCTAAAGTTGATACGTAGAGAGCAATTTGACCAAATTTTAGAATGGCTTCAGGCAACCCCAAAACACCCACTATTTTTGTGTGCAACACTGCAGGTACAGAGAATGTTGCAAAAGAGTATGCAAACACAAGAATGACACAATGATCTAACCATTATGTAAACATCATCAAGACGAATGGTATTATAAGGCAATCTGAGTTTTTGAGACCATTGTTTGTTGCTGGTACACAAATGGCACACTAGTACTGAAGAATGAAGCTACTTGCAGCCAAACTTAAGTTTATGAACAACAAAAACCATCATGTAACAGCAAACAAACTGAAAGATATGACTGATCCTGACACTATGTACTACTATTGTAATAGATGATAACAACAAATCCAGCACTATGAATCCTGATACAAGGGATCATCAATGTTAGTTTACTGAAACTTCAAGGGAATTCATATTTAAGACATTTCATGGTCGGGTATGAGCAAGTGGAAAATATCAACATGCCATAAAATAAAATAAAATAAACACAAACCAACACATATGTCACTCTGACATCCTTTTCAGATAAAAGTCAGGGGAGAAATGCGAACTATAGTGATACATAGGCCATTAAAAATCATGAGAAAACCATGGAGGTTCTAAAGATCAGGAAACAGGCAGGTACAGAAGTTACAAGTAGCGGCATCCAATGATAGCAATCAAATGAAAGACCCCAACCTTCTTGAGCCTTGCTTCATCCATGTATTTCCTTCTAAGTGGCTGGTTTACTCCATTAGCTTTCTGCTTCGTGGGAGCATCGCCACTTATTGTATTCTGATAAGCATGGACATTCCTAAAGAGTGGTGGTGGCATGATACTAGAAGTCTGCAAAATTAAATTAAGTAAAATGGAACTCAGCCGACAGTAAAATAATATCATAACTGAAGAAATTAAGTTGTCAAGAACAACTGATTAAAAATTGTGTAAAACATTTCAACAGTTAAGACACAATATAATTCCCTCAGTGCAATAGAAAACCAACTACTATGAACAATAATTATGATCGAGCAAGCAAGAGTGCCACACAGCTCTATATCATCAGAATGTTGTTCACGAGACACAGATGATAGATATGTCCTAAGGGCGTACTCGGTGTTGAAAGCTCCCACACAAGGTGGGATTTGGGGAAGGGAATTCTAGGCAGCCATTACTTTGCTTATTTTGCAAGGAGGCCGATTGGAATCCACAACGTCCAGAAACAAGTGGAGACTCTACCACTGCGCCAGACCCACCCTTCTACTCCCTCCATTCCAAATTACAAGCCATTCTGGACTAGACATAGTGTATATGTAGATGCATAGCAAAAGCTATGCACCTAGAAAAGTCCGAACGACTTTTACATTTTGGAATGGAGGGAGTAATTTATTGCAAGGAAAAAATGTTTTTCTTTAGAAAAAGGTAAATGGGTCAGGATAGATGAACAAAACAAGAAAATTCTGGGGTCAGGACAATTCTTGAAGGTCTAAAACAAGCCATCTGAGCCAGTGTCAAATAATTGGAAACATAAGAGACACCAAAGGTCTAAAACAAGCCATCTGAGAGAGTGTCAAATAACTGGAAACATAAGAGACACCAAGATACCAGTGCTTTTTAACATGGTTCTACCAACCGCTGATTACATTTAGTCTCCTATTAGGTGCACATTGGCAGAAAATCTTAAGTGAAGAATCAAACATGTTGTACTGACCTGTGCTGCAGTTGGTGATGGGGTGTCAAACTGTGGTACATTAGAGGTTGAACTGTTCTGCACATGCAATGCAGTTGGTCTTACATGAGGATAGCCAGATACTTCTGCTATGTTGTTAGCATGAAGCTGTTTGATTTGCTTAGGACTAATATCCCGAAGACTCGCAGAGACCCTGGATGATAGAACTCGATTTTCATTGGCGAAATTCGACTTCACCAGAGTGGGCGTGGATGTGTGTTCCTGCTGGAGACGTAGAGCAGTCGATTCACTAAAACACTCATCAGTATCTTCAGCAATACCTATAAGATGAAGACGCATTTTTAATGTATGTTTATGGCTTCAAACTTTAAGTGAGGATGACTCCTTGCAAGCAAAACGCTAAGGCTTAATGAACCATAGTGTAACTTCTACGGTAAGGCAAAAGGACATACTGCACACCAGGAATGAGCTAGTAACAATGAACACCAAGCTAATTGATGATGATTGAAATCCATCCGGATAGAGAATTTATCGCAGTAATGCTCAAGTGCTCTGATTTTACAGGAACAAACATATTTCTACATGTTAACATAGAAGACAGCAATAAAAAAAAGGGCGTACCCAGTGCAGAGAGCTCCCGCTTTGTGCAGGGTCTGGGGAAGGGTGTCAGTGGCAAGCCTTACCCTCGCCTGTGCAATGCGAGGAGACCGCGACTCGAACCCGGGACCTTCCGGTCACAGGCGGTAAGACTCTACCGCTTGCACCAGACCCGCCCTCCAACATAGAAGACAACAATATATGAGGAAATGTCTATGAAGGCCATATTCAAATCCACTAGATGTAGCATATTCAGGAACGCACATTCTGCAAAATCACCATTTCATTTCTATTTCTACACCTTCAAAAGTTAAGATATGAGGCAATACTTCATGCAACTAGTTCTAGTATATCAGAATTAGTGTAGACCTACCACAGAACTTCATATATGGGTGTAAAATGAACCAACCTAATATACACAATTCTTCATATGCCGACCATAAAAGAGGATCTAGAGTCAACGCTTGTGTAAATTGTTCAGCTGCAGCTGAAATTCTGCCTGTGCACCTGCACACAGTTGAGATAAATATATAGAATCTGAAAAAAATTATAATATGCAGCATCATGCATTCAGTTAAGCCATGAACAATAAACCTGTAAATCACTCCAAGGAGGTAGTGTCCTGTTGCTCCACTTGGAACCTGCAGAAGGATGAAACCAATACTAGAAACAGGCTAACCCAATACAGGAAATAAAGCAAACAAAGATGTGATTGATTTTATTTTCTCGCTATCTACTTCACCCCTGTAGAATCAGTGAGCAACCTCAGCTGAACGTCATGCCCCAGGAGAAAAACAAATGAAAAGAGAGAGAGAAAGTTTCAAGCCAATCCATGCGGTGCAAGCATGTACCTTGTAAAACTAATGCTTCTCTCGTATAACATAAAAACAACCAGAATTTCTGACAATAAAGGGCAACGAACACACATACGGCTTTGTCCTTGGCAACAATTTTGGTACGAAACACCGCAAGCAAAATAAAGCAACCAGGCCTAGTATTATTTTGAAGGAACCAGGAAATGTTCTCACTGAATTAGCTATGGAATTTAGTTCACAAACCAACAAGCACGTCATGCACCTCCCTTTATTCAAAACTGGAACCCCATAAGGAAACTAACTATTGTTATCAGTATTTTATTTTCAGACTAATGTAGTGCTGTCAAGTCCCATTGGAATATTGTGCTGTTAATATAGTTTATTACTGAGCGAAAAATACTTTACTGCTATAATACCACCACACTGCCTTCTACACAAAAACAGAATCACTCAAGTTTTCACACACCAATTTGTTGTACAAAGGCCAATGGATAAGATATTTACATAAACAAATCATTTTAAAATATGATGAATACCTCCATGTTTGGTTCATTGACTGGACATAGAGTTTCTTCTGCTTCACGCAAGAGGTTCATTCGAAAGCATGATGTAGCAAACAAGTACCGGGACTCCGGCAGCTTCTTCCCTTCATATCACATCAGAAACAAAATCTATAAACCATCCAAACTACTCTCATATAATATATGTGTTACATGGTGAGCATATGCTATTACCTTTCAAAATGTGGTATGCAGCATATGGCTGATTGTTGTGGAGGTAGCAGGTCGCTAACAATTGCACATTGGTCTGTGCAGAGGTAGAGCAAGAACATTTAGTGCGCACTGCTATGTTGCAAATGGACTTATTTTTTAAAAAAAAAACTAAAATAAGATTTTCCATGAGCAAAAAATACTAATTGAAAAGAAGTCCTTATAATAGTAAAGCAGGCAGGATTCATGTTAATCAGTGAGGTAACATCCGCTAAGAAATTGAACGCATACACATGAAGCACTAAACACGCATTCACGTTGTGTTGATCTTCATCCCACATGAAGGCCCATGAACCACATCGAGAACCCAAATAAAAATTTAAACCCAAAACCACGCATTCAAGTTGCACTGATCCTCACCCCACATGAAGACCCATGAACCACATCAAGAATCCGAATTAAAATTAAAACCCACACTCTCAAGTAATTATAAGGTCAAGAAAAGAAAAAGGGGTGAGCATGTCCTGTAAGAACATAGGATTCAAGCAACTGAATACCTTAGAATGGGCTACAAATATTATCACCCCGAGATTATGATAAGGAAAAGAACCCGGGCATAACACGTCACTGTAACCACTAGCCCATTATGCACTAACATCAGTAGAGCTTCTACCTGTGAAATTGCCTCAAAAATTTAGGCAGAAAATCACCCTCTCCAGTCAAATTCACTATGAACCCTAGATGAAACGCGCAAGATACTCCAGTTCAAATTCACTATGACCCCTACAACAGCTACAGGGAGTCGTTCTAATTCGAGCCTAGATAAGCCATAGACCCAAATCTCACCACTCTACTCCTAATGCAGCCCTAGCCACTTAAAAAAAACCACAAAATGCTACTAAATCGAACTGAACAGCGGAGGTGAGCCCCCGCGCTCAAATCACTGCCCCACGCCCGATCCGACCCTCAGACGTACCATTCCCACGCGCAACCACACCGAATCGAGCCGCACTAGTCCCGTTGAGGAGCGGGGAGAGAAGGGGGCTACCTCGGAGGGGAACTGCGCGCAGAGGCGCTCGCAGAGGAATATGGCGTTGCGGTGCATGAAGAGGCGGAGGCTGCTGTGGACGCGGTCCACCATTAGGGTTTCCATCGCCGCCCGGCGGCGGCGGCGGCGGCGGCGAGCGCGGGCGGGCGGGCGAGAGCGAGGGGAAGTGTGGTGGCCGAAGCGCAGGCGGCAGGTGCAGCAGGGGAGGGTCCGGTCGTTTGAATCCAGGAGGCTCTTGGTTTTGGCTGCGATGCGATTTGAGGGATTCGAACGACTGCTGTGCCCGTGCGTATGCCGGCGGCGTGTGAGTTGGCACAGCGTTACGGGTACAGAAGAAGCGTGTAGAGGAGTCATGTGCGACAGGTCGCCGACAAGTGGGCCGTAGTCTTCGGCTCCGAATATGTGAACGTTGAATTGGATCAGAAAGCCCGGGGTCGGGGAGGTGGTGCTCTCCGAGATCGAGAGGTTCCTAAGCAGGAGGGGGAGGCAGAGTTGGGGTTGGGCGCGGAGGCGGGCAGCTGGAGCGTGTTCGGCTGCGCCTATGGGCTGCTGTGCTCATGTTTGATGGCCTTGGCCCGTCTCCCAGCCCGGCTCGCTCGGTGCAAAAACTTCCCCTTCGCCTGGCTCTAGCGAAATGAAATCCCCGTTCGTTTTTCTAGGGCTCGGCTCCGCGCGGCGCGAGGCGGCCGATTTGGGGGCGATTTTGGGCGGCGGCGGGTGGCTCACGCGGAAGGCTGAAATCTCCGCGCACTCCCTCCTCCAGTGAATCTTGCCGCCTTTATAAGTGGCCGCCCAGCGCTGGCGCTCCCTCCCTTCTTCTCCCTTTGCTTCTCCACCCATTCCCGTGAGATACCGGCGGTGCTGTTGAGGTGTGGTGTCCGGTGAGACGGCGTTCTTTCTCGACGGGCTTCCTCTCCATTCCCCCACCTAGGGTCTGCACCGACGCGGCGCTGCACCTTCTTTGTTGCTAGGCGGTGTTACACCCTAAATCATTTACTAAAACATGTCATGAGCATCATACTTGTGTGTTAATGCATATGGTGAAGTGAGTAGATAATGCATTGCAACTAAAACGATCAACAAAAATACGAAACGAAAGTTGTTCCACGATTCGTACAGATAACAAGTAGGGGTGTAAACTAATTTTTATTGAACAAAAATTACTATATAACCTATATACGAAACTTAAATAAAGTTTAAAGTACAAACTTTGTAGATAACAATGCAACTCTTGCTGTAGAAAAATAATGTTACTAGCTAGTATTTCTAATAGTATAGAAACGGAACTCGAAAACAAATCTAGCTCAAGACTTAGAAAAATTCCTAAGATGAGCAGCAGTGTGACAAAGCCATGTTTGGCAAATTATTTTATGAAATTGAGTTAAGAAGGGGTGTCGTGTTGTAACTCTTGTTGATAGCCTAAGGTGCCCTCTTTAAAGCAGTGAAGATGACTTGGTTCCAAATTGAATCGTTTAGTTTTTACGGGTGCTTTAAAATTAGACGCAGATTTTCGGTCTTGGGGTGCATGGGCTCGGTAGCGTGGGTGGTCACCTGCGTGTCCGTTTCTGCGTCATTGCTTGGGCTGGTTGCGTCTTGTGCTGCGTGGGTCAAGACTTTGCCGCCCGAGGTCGCCCTTGGTCTGCCCTGCTGGCTGGCGTGCTTTGGCCGCGCGGCCGCTCTGCCGCTTGCGCTTACTGCCGATCGCCACCCCACCGTGCCCCTTGACCCCTCTGCGCCGGCCGCCATCGCCACTCTGGTTGTCCGCCGATCTTTATTCTTGCGCCCTCCATGTCGCGCAAGCGTCGCGCGACGCTAATTCTGATTTGCGATCATTGCCGTCGTGTCACTCCCGCACCCGCGTCTGCTCGCTGCATCGCGCTGCCCCCTCCCTGGCCCGGTTGGGTGCCGTTAGCACGTGGTCGTGCACGCCGTCCACGCCATTAATGGCGCTGCGGCGCGCGGGCCATGGCCGGTCGCGGACGCTCGCGCTCGTCCCCTCGTGCTTGGACGTAGGTCCCTCGGCCACGACAACCGCGCCCCGCCAAGGCAGGGCACGAGCGTCGTGGCCGCGGACGGGAGCGAGCGTCGCGATCGGGGCGTGCGACAAGCCAGAGCGAGTGGCACGAACTGAGATGTGCGGCGTCTGGACGGTCGGATGCCCTGAAAAGAGCATTACCGTATGTATTGTGAACTCTACCGAATGAAAGAAATGTTCTGGGAGTGATGACTAGGAGATTTGAATTCGTAGATCGCAAAAACTAGGAAGAGTATTTGCAAGGATTTTTAGAAGAGAGCTATGTATGCACTGCTTACCTTTGTGCCCCACACTCCCACAGCCATGCAGCCATGCAGGAGTCTGCCTATACTCGCGGGTAAGACTAAGACATATCATCCATCCTCTAATCTTATTCATTCCCTAAAATTAGATGAATCGATTATGTTTACCTTCAATCAATCCTCTGTGGTTTGAATCGTGGATATGATCAGTCATCAATTACCAAGCAAGTGACCAATCAAAAAGAAGTGCAACCATTTTGTAAGAATCTTGCAGTATGAAAGGCCGGTAAAGTAAAAGGGTGTTTGATGCTGGGAGTAAAGTTTAAGTGGTATCTCATCATATATCACATGGGGTGTCTTTTGGGGTGTTTGGATACTAATAAAAAAATAAATTACAGAATTTATCAGTAATCCACGAGATGAATTTATTAAGCCTAATTAATTCGTCATTAGCACATATTTACTGTAGCACAACATTGTCAAACCATGAACTAATTAGGCTTAAAAAATTCGTCTCGTAAATTAATCTCAATATGTGTATTTAGTTTCATAATTAGTTTAGTTTAGTTTAGTTTATATTTAATACTCAATGCATTTATCTAAACATTCCGATGGGACAACGACTAAAGTTTATGGGTAGAACTAAACACCCCTGACTGGTGATGCTGAGACATTTGTCTTTTATTTGCAGAAACCATGACGCTGATCCCCCCCTGTTCCTGATGCCCCGTTTTGCCCAACTGAAGTCCAGCTGTGCTCCAAGCAGCGGCGGAAGATATATCGTGATGGTAGCCGGAAAGACAAGCGGTGAACCTCCAGAGATAATGGAAGTCTGGAAGACTGGAACTCATCATCCATCTCTCAACGTCCTCTGATAGTTCGTCATCGCTCACAACCGTCTGATACGGATCGGACGGAGTCAATGTCTCATGTACCTATACAAGTTAAAATAGCATGTTTCATTCAAAAAACAAAAAGTTAAAATAGCATGTACAAGCACCATGCGAGTCCAGTTATGAAACAAAATAAAATACAAAGGCTTACATGGTCCACTGCTGTGCTCTCTACGAACCGGTGCATGTATGAGGTAGAGCAGATTGTTAAATCAGGGTGCTAAGTCCGATCCTAAAATAACATGATTTTTTGTAAATCTTTTAAGTGTCTTATACCCATTATACGAGTTACAGTAGCACATGTCCAGACACAATATTTTACGGAGTTTGATTCACATAAGAACTAGAAAGACAGGCGCGGCTTTGCCGCGCCCTTGCAGTAGGCAACTAGCCCCTCTATATATGTCTCTAGGAATTTCTGAATTGAATCCCCTTGTTATCACTCATTCTGGAATCAAACTATGACAGCTTCAAGATCACAAGCAAGTAGCCTTGTAAATTATTTGGAGGCAGAGTAAGCATACAAGTTTGGAGAAGATTATCTCTGTAGACATCTCTTGCAATGATCCTTGTGTATGCAAGGCAATGCTCCTTCGACAAATGCACAGTTTGATATATGTGATGTTTTTCAAGATTCAGTTGTAGCTAGTAGATTTCTAATAGGCTATGTTGTTTTTCAGTAGACAATAAACGTATATTTGACGTTGAAGGCAACGCAGCCAATGTGGCCAGGAAGATCTCTGATGCAAGGGTTCGACCTTGTGTTGTTTCAACAAATTTAGTTTGTGAAGTATGGTGAACTGGGGTGATGCTAATTTAGCTCATCGTAGGATGTATTAAATCATCAGGGGAAGAAGCAGTCGTAGCCAATCATTTATTTTAGAGCAGAAGTCACTCTAATGTATTCTTCCATACTAAGATCTACAAAAGTGGACCATGCTTTTTGTGAACATTACATGCCCTTGAAGAATTTGAAGTCCCAGAAATGAAGACAGTAAAAATCAAGTAAACACCATGATTTAAAGCCACGGACACCGAGTAAGCAAATACTATAGCCATGCTGGATTCACCTTGAGTGGCTTCTTGAGTGGCGATCCTGCTGTGGCCACCCCTCCAGGTTTAACATTCTTAATGCGGTTTGGCGATGGGGATGGAAACCGCTATGGAGTGGGCGGTGTTGCCTTCACTTCCTTCAGCACAGAGGGAGACCTTTGCTTCCCTGCTTCCACCTTCAGCCCCAACTTCTCTTCCCTTCCTGCAGAAACCAACATCAGCGCCGTAAGCAACAATCAGTACAACCTATACGCATAAGTTTGCATTGGGATGACTATTTGCAAATTACATTGGGCTTGGACTCTTTTTCACTGTTTCTTGTCTCGCCACCTCCTTCACGGTATCTGCGGGAACTGGATTGCTGACGCTGGCATCAGGAGATACCTTCTCCATCAAATCGCCGGATTCCTGCACGAATGAAACTGTCAGGAGCCTCATAGAGAGAACCCGACAATTGAATTCCAGCATTCCTTCGATGAGGAGAGGTTTACATTGGGTTTGAGCTGTATTCCTCCTGTGTGTCTGTGACAGGCCAGCCGCCTCCAACCATCCGCTTCAGCTCATCGTAGAACTCGAAATCTGGCCGTATATCCTTTCCAAAGAAGAGATTCCTCGCTGAGAGGGTGCTCTTGAGCTGCCTCAGTGAGGCGTGCGACTTGTTGAGCAGCGCCTCCTTCTCAGAATTGTCCGGCCGCTTCTCCGCACTGGACTTGATGGCCTCCTTGGCATTCTTGTTCCACCGAGGGGCACCGAACGGCGGCCTACTAGTTGGCGCCTGTCGTGGGGGCGGCGTGGCCAGCGCAGGGTCCTGGTTCTCGCTGTGACGCTGTCCTCCTGGAACCTCTTCTTGGGCGCTGCCTTTGGCTTCGGCGGCGTGGAGGAGGCAACGGCGCCGCCGCCCTGCCACTTGAGATTGCTACTGCCGTCCCTGAGCAACGCACGAAGGGGGGTGAGAACGGGATTTGATCGAGGCGGGCGCGGCGCGCAAAGAACAAAAAGGGCCGCAAATCAAAAGATCAGCACCGCTCGTTTAGAAGCAAACTTCCAATGTTGCAAGAGAATCCATCCCCAAGGAAGAAAGCAAGAACCGGGCAACCCGTCGATCAGCGCGCACTGCATTGATTTGATCTCCTCGCAGTCAAATCATAACGGATCCCAATCAACAGGCAACAGGAGCACCGCCCGCGCGCCCGCCTGCGAGGGGGGAGCCAGCAAGAGAGCGGGAGGGAAGGGAGAGCGTACCGGGGCGGCAGAACCAGGCCTTGTCGTCGACGTCGGCGCGGCCGGCGTTGGGGTCGGTGAGGTCGGCCCAGTGCGGGGCCTCGATGCCCTCGTAGGTCTCGTCGCGCCAACAGGCCGCAGCCGGCAGCCCCGGCCCGGCGCACCGCAGCAGCCGCTCGCGTCACGGTCCCAAGCCCGAGCCGGCCGGCTGTCGCCGCCAGTGCCTCGCGCACGCGCAGTCGCCCGCCCACCGCCCGCCGCCGCTGCGCCTCGCCTCGTCGCCCGCTGCCGCCGCCGTGCCTCGAACAGGAGCTGCCGCCCACCGAGCCGGATGCGCGCTAGGGTTTGGGTCGAGGTTGGGGAATTGGACGAACAGCCGCTCGACGGATGAGCCCAAGAAGGTTCCCGAGGTTTCGGGTTTACAGCGAAACGGGTAGAGACCAAACCGATCCGCAATCGAACGGCCACCGTCGCAAGTTCGCCAGATCGAACGGCTTGCGGCTTAACGGGCGACGTGGCACGATGGATAGTCCGCTTTTGGAAGCAGGATTAGTATATAGAGATTGCTAAAATGTATTGACATTATAAGAAAACGCGAGCCGCGGGGGAATGTCGTTGAATAAAATTTCGAGTCATATATATATTTGCAATGCACAAGCATATTTGGGATGTAATTAAGAGACCCGACACTCGGACTGCGGGACTGTTTAGAACCACTTATATGAGAATTTAATCTACTCATAAATTCCTAACAAGATGCGATATGAAGTGTACGAATGGAAAATCTAGTTGGGTGATTCATAAGCTAGCTCTAAGTATTTTTTATATATTTTAACATAAGAGAAAGAAGGGTTAGCTCTCGATCGAAAGCTAGGCTCATACATATATTATAAAATCATGTGAGAGTGTCATGTGAGGTTATTCATGTTATGAGCTATATGCTAAAAGTTAGCACTGTTGTGGAAGTTGGAGCTAGTAACTAGATTATACTATTGCAGGTGCCTTAATATGCTCAGAGTGTAAAATGATATATATACCCCTATATAAAGGTTAATGGCTTATGATAACGATGATGATTTTTGTTAGTTAAATGTTTTTTTGTTATATATTACTAAAGAAGTAATTATATTGACGTTTTAACAAGATTGTATCATGTAATTATATTGGCAATTTTTTTTTTGTCTCGCACTCTCGCTCGTGCGCGGAACCACAGCCGCTCTGGGGAATCGGGCAGGCGGGTAGCGGACGGAGAAAAGCGAGTGAGAGGCTGTGGTACCCAGAACGCCGGGTGCAGTGCAAGTTTGGGTGGCCTTCCTACAGCGCTAATAATATAGTCGATTGCTGGTGGTAAGATTTTTTTTATAGCATTCACTCATTCTTGTTTCTGATGTCTAAGCTGGCTGCAATCCGCTGAAAAGTTCTAATGGCTAGAGGAGAGAGCGAATAGTCTATAAAAATTTCTACAACAACACTTAAGCAAAGTGGTTAGATAATTAAGTGGCAAAGCGAATGTTGCGCTAGTCTACTAAAAATACAAGACACCTATCCATAATTCAAGTTGTTATGATCTCTATTTCACCCAAAGGCTACGTCACTACTCTCTAAGTTAGTTAGCTCTTAAATACTAACTAAAGAGCCTCACTAGCCAAACTAACAAGGAAGAAACTAGCTCTCAAAACTAATTGCACTAAAAACCTAACTACACTAAAAATTAAATGCAAGAGAGAAAGTAAGGGTTATACTGACGTGGTAAGAGATAATCAATCAATCACAATGAATGCCAATGAAATTCTCAAAGACAAAATGACATAATGATCTTTCACCAAGGTTCACTTGCTTGCAGTAAGCTACGTCCCCGTTGTAACGATTTACTCACTTGGAGGTTCACACGCTAATAGGCATCACACGTCTAACCTACAATCAGGTGCTGCACAACCAACACAAGATGGGGATCCACAAACTACGAGCAATCCACTAGAGTACATTTTGGCTATTTGTCGAGGAAAACTCAAGAACCCCTCATAATCACCACGATCGGAGCCGAAGACAAGCACCTTCCTCCGCTCGATGATCCTTGCTGCACCAAGCCATCTAGGTGATGGCAACCACCAAGAGTAACAAGCGAATCCCGCAGCGAAACACAATCACCAAATGCCTCTAGATGCAATCACTCAAAGCAATGCACTTGGATGCTCTCCAATCTCACCGAATGATGAATCAATCAAGCAAGATGAGTGGGAGAGGAATGACTAGGTTCACTAGGGTGTATTCTCAAATAAAAATAGTCAAGAGAGTGAGTCCAACCAGCCAAACGATATTTATAGAATGTAACACCATCGGTGTTACATAGTGAATCATTTGCTAAAACATGTCATGAGCATCATACTTAAGTGATATTGCATGTGGTGTGATGAATAGGTAAAGCATTGTAACTTAAACGAGTCATAAAGACGTAAAACAAAAAGTTAATTCATGATTTATAAAGTTAGCAAGTAGAGATGTTAACTAATTTTTATTGAATAAAAACGCTATAAAACATATATGTGACACCTTAATAAAGTTTGAAATATGAGATTTGTAGATGACAATAAAATACTTGGTGTTGAGATATAATGTTGTTAAGTACTATATCCAATAGCTTAAAAGTGCAACTAAAAATAGAAATCCATTTAACACTTAGAAAATTTCATGAACTTTTGGAAGGTTAG